TCTTCCACCATTGTGAAATAATGCATCACAGTCTCCAGCAGCTTAAAGATTCTTGAAGTAATCACAAAGTTTTACAGGAAAAAAGGAAATTGAAACAAATAAACAACGAACGAATAGGGAAGAGAAGAAAAGAAAAGAATCAACACTGGCTTGAATATTCTAGCGACCTTTTTCTCAGCGTCTGAGTCTTAGCAGCTCGACCTTGGCCACTGGTCGAACTCCGCTTTAAGCTGGAGGTCGTTAAGCTTTGTGTTCTCGGCAGGACCTCAGCCTCAGCCTCGTCCTGGACACTTTCCTTCCCCGTGGTCGCTGCCTTAAGCGCCCCCGGGCTCACTTTCACCCCCGGGGCTTGAGGGGAAGGTGTCTGTCTGTGGGCACTGCTGGCGGGGGTGGTGCCGGGTTTAGCTCCTTCGTCTCTGCTCGTTTTGCCGGCCTGGTCCTTCGTGTGGCTCGAGGACACCACGGCGTCCGGGAGGTTTCTTAGGAGATCGAACACCTCCCCGTACTCTGGCAGAAGGGGTCTCACGTTCTCGTCCTCGAGGGATTCCGCACGGAGACCTGGCACGGCGGAAGAAAATGAACACGCACATATAGTGTATATAGAAAGCATTATGTACAGATCGTGAGTTTCCTTCGGATAATGTATTCTGTTGGGAGTAATAGCCAGTATCAGAGAAAAGGAGATGTGTAAGTTTCCCCAGCAATCAAAATAAACAAATGGATAGAAAAATTATGATAAAGGAGAGAGAGAGAGAGAGAAATGAAGACCACACGAACCTAAAACAGTAGAAGTTAGTGAGCCGGAGGGCGAGCCGTCCCCCTCGTAGGCGTAGGCTCTGAGGTCGTCCTGCGGCAGGAGCGGCTGCGCGGAGCTCACCCTCGGCGCCAGCGTCACCTGCGGGCACTCCCCTGCCGAGACGGGAGACCCTATCACCCTCGGGAGACTCAGCCTCTTGGCCACACTCACGTCCCCGATGACGGAGGAGACCGAGCACCGCCGTGATATCGACGGGGCCTTCTCCCTCTCGGAGTCCTTGTCGGGGCTGCCTTTAGACGTCGACGGGATGATCACGCTCACCTCCTTCACCAGGGGCTCGTCGACAGCCAGGGTCGTGGTGCAAGTGTGAGACACGGGGGGAGCCTTACCTGTCGGGGAGAGTGGCGAGGTAAAGTGTATGTGAACAAAGGGGGACGTTTTTTTTTTTTTTTTTTTTTTTTTTTGAAGAAACGACTACTCATATGGGCGATTTGTCTTAAGATTAGTATTGGAAAAATTGCGTTAAGCTACACCAACACTTGGAAAAGAGGTATTAGTTTCCCCTGTTTATTCCAAAGTCCCGAAAACCATGATGTTAAGCCATATTCATCCACTTTAGCCCTCAAACAATCCGAACAATTGCACCTTTGCGTAGAGACCATTTCCACCTAAGCAACTCTCCATAACAGCAAAGTCCTGAGAACACTCTACCCATCTCATCACCTCAAGAACCCTCCTCCCGCCGACAGGTCTCGCTCCCGCACACAGACAGTCCCGCCACTCAAGAGCCACGCGAGCCACAGTCGGGCGGCGAGGGACACGTGGCGGGAGGAACTTTTTTTTTTTTTTTAAAGGACAGGAACTCCCCCGGATGATCACCTACGAGGCGAAGAAGTCTGCTGCCCGGGATCTTTATCTTTATCGCCTCCAGGAACACGTGTTCGTCGTGGGAGGGCGTCGTCTGCAGGTACTCGACGTCCCCCTGGAGGGAGACCGGCGTCCCCGTGGGGCTCGTCAGGCCCTCCACGCCCTCGCACCTCAGCGTGACGCCGCGGCCGCCGCTGCACCGACGCATGCGCAGAGTGACCAGGACGAGCAAGACGACTGCGGATTAAACAAGGGGAGGAGCGTCAGATGCAAGGACTCCCGGGAGGATTTGCATGCTGGGTTCGGGAGAGAAAAAGGAAGGCGCAGGAAGTAAATGCATTGCGAAATAAATAAATACGTACACATTCACTTTCGCATCTACATACACACACACGTACAAGCACGAGCACACCCACATATACATACAAACACACACACACACACACACACACACAACAAACACACACACACACGCACCCACACACACACACAACAAAACCACTCACACACACCACACACACACACACACACACACACACTCTCACACACACACACACTCACACACACACAAACACACATAAACAGACACACCCTCACACTACCCAACCCCACACGAACTAACCCATAAGAATGGAGGAAAGGGCTATGGCCGCGATGATCATGGGCGGCGTGATGGAATGGGCGTGAGGAGGCAGCTTAGCCCACTGGCAGTTATCCCCGGCGAACGAGGGCGCGCACGCACACTGGTACCCCGGGTCAGAGTTGTAGCAGGTCCCCCCGTGGAGGCAGGGGTCGAACTGGCACTCGTCCACGTCCCGGCACACACGCCCCACCAGGTGCCGCCCCGCGCCGCAGCTGGGGTGGGTGGGTGGTTGG